GGAAGAAGATGCTCAAGTAAACGCACCTTGGTCGTATATATAAGCGAAGCGATCAGATGTTCGATTGTCCTTCAGGAATACGTCGTGAATCGTGTTTTCAATAATCTAGAGGGTGATCCACTTGCTCCATCTATAAAGCAGTATGGTGGGGGTAAGACAGTGTGTCCTAACCCACCATTGTTATTAATCATGTAGATGGTGTTCCAGGAGCTCCTTCATGAAAGCAAAAAGAAGAGTAAAACTGATTGCCTTAAATTAGCAGTGCCATTGGAGATTGAAAAGGCTGCATAGCATAGCCAGGATCCACGATGGACCCAATTTTGCAACTTTGCAAAACAATTGCTGTAGATAGCCGAGACACAATTTGGTTACTTTCTTATACGAGTTCGAATGTGTTCACAGAATGAAATCGTAGATTTTGAGTTCAAGAACTAAGCACGGAAGGCAAAGGGAAGTAAACAAATGGGAAGGATGCCAGTTTTGTTCCTTTCCTCCCCTACGACTATGCCATTAGAATTTTGATGCGCGGGAAGATCTTAAGAAAACCTACGGGGTGTTATTTTTGAATCAAGTAGCTCTGTAATCACAAAATAATTAGTGCGGCAAGCATAATGGTCCCACATGGGAATATGAGTACTTCTGGAATCTTGCGACGTAAGACCTACTCCTGCAGATCATTTTGCCGTTTGACTGAACGACGTCCTTGCGCGACGGATTTCGCGCAGAGTTGTTCAACATAAACAAGATCCTTTGCTACTGACAGCCTACATTCGCAAATGTGATTCGCGATCTAAATGCGAGCGATAAAACTCAATCGAATACAATGGGAAAAAGATTACCTGGAGGAATAACCACTGTACTCTTTGGCACGGGCGACCTGACCTTCAGCAGCTTGTTGCCAGTTAAGGAGGAATCAGGATGGGGCACAGAAATAATTTTTGTATTGTTACGGATCAAAACTGCATTGTTTGATAAGAGGATTGGTTGATTAAGATATACGCCTGGTGCAGCACGTTAAGGAGCCCACCTATATCCTTGTTTTTGCGGAGACGAATTTGGCCAAAACTTTTTTGTGAACTTGCTGAGATATACAATACACAATACAAACAGAAACCAATTTGAGAAAACTAACATTTGATGTGTTTTCTTAAGAACCTTGACCCAGTTACGGCTTGCAATTGAAATATCGCCTGCGGGGCCTTTTTATTTTAAAGATTAATAGTTATTAATTTTATTATATTAATTGACAATGTATTCCGCTGTGGATCCCAATATTAGACTTCAATTTCTCGTGCGACAATGAGCATTCAGTGGCATTGGTTGCATAAATACACCTCCGGAGAGGCGCGTCTATGCAACCAATATGCACCAAAGAGGGTGCGTCGAATATATATACTAGGAATCAATTTTTTCACTTCTGCCTTTCGTCTGATTAGTGTTTGATATACACATTGTTTGCTATACAGCCATTGGTACCATAAAGAACATTTATAATTGTATGGTATATTTATTTTTTATGTATTGCATAAAATAATAATAAGGCGCAGCTGTATCACTTTTACAACGACAGCTTCAATGAAGAAAGTTTCTACCCAGCTAAAGATCTAACTAATTCGTTATTCCCTAACGATGACGCAAGACATATAAAATAATTGTAGGAAGCGAAATTCGGTTGATCGCCTTTAAAGGTAAAAAAAAGTAATGTTTCGCCTCTTATATGTATATATATATGTACGCACTGTTGTTCAGCTGAATTCGGTAGCAGTTGTGTTTCAGTACTCAAGAAGTGGAACTGATATGGCTGAACCACAAGAATTCGAAGGCTTCCACTTTCCTTTATACAGTACGAGAACGAGTAATAAGTAATGACTTGTAGGCGCTAAATGTTTCAGCCAAAAAACTGATGGAATTTTGTTTGTATATATGCCAACTTCTGTTCATAGAATATGCATATAAATTCCATGAAAGTTCGGCCTCCTCCCCTTCGTCTTCACTCCAACCGGGAAGGAAGCAGACTATGAATATCGACTTCTGCAATTCCAAATTTATGCCTACGGCTCTGGTGCACACCACTCTGTTGAATTTGTGCGGAAAATGAGCAGCTTATGATCTGCTGAAGTCAAACTTCGATGGAACGAAGGAGCGATCGTTACGGTTATCGTTCTGTGTCACGGTCTGATTACGCGAGAAAAAACGTAGATTTTAGGAAAATTAGCATTTTTAAGCCAAAACGTGGGTGGTAATTAAAATAAGCACGTACCGGAAAGATATCGCTAGTTATATTGTCTCAGGGTAAAGCTGGTTCTTCCATGCAATTTAACTGGTGCAAAGCAAAAGATATTAGGCTTTGTCGATAGGTCGATCAGGTTACGCGTTTTACGTAAACGTATATATTACAGAAAAATTTTCCGCTTGCGGACCAATGAAAGCAGATAATCGCTTAGTTTTCAAACAAAACATCCCTTCACCAGTTGAATGAGTAGCGAAAGCCTTGCAGTCTAAGATCAGTAAGTTTGTTCGTTTAAGGCAAGTTTATTGTTGACATTTATTAAGAGTTGTTAATGAAACTATAAGGCGCGTATAGAGAAAACGCGGAGTACAGCTTCAATGACAGGTGTTCAGGTAGAATGGCATCAAGATGAGATACCATAACAGATCTTATAATACAATTGTAAGATCTGTTAGTCGATCTTGGACCAAAGCTTTAGAATATCTGTCGCCTAAGATTGGTGTTCTTCGAACTGTGAGTTATAAAATTATTATCAGAGAACTTTAGTTGAGGTTGCATCTTTATGTAATTGTATTTCCACTAGAAGCATGTGTGATTATTAGGAAGTGAGCCATGCCTATAATGCAGATACCATTTGTCTCAAAGATGTAATGTACAATAAAAATAATTAGAGTAAAGCAAATAGTAAGCATACAGCTCGAGATGTTTTCGGCTTAATTTGAAATTTATAAAAAAGACATCTTGCAGTTCTACTAGAAAATAATTGTTTCCATTTGTTTAGTTCAAAGATGATGTAAGTTTAAAGGTGCGCTACTTTTGTCGGTATACCCTCATAGGTAGTACGGTAGTGGCTTGAACTAAATTATTTTTTTGCTTTCCTTTTGGTTTAAGTCAAGGTGTATTACTACTACAACTCTCTATGTGATATGTAGATTATACACATGCATTTGGAGGGTAAATTGAAATTTATTCATGTAACGAAAAAAATTAGGAGGTTTGCCGTAGCGAAAATTTGGAAAATTGGAATATAAACTTCGGGTTCCTTTGTTTGTTTGTATTCAATCGACTCTTCAAACGTTTTTGAACATACATGAACTCGCCATCATAGGGAATTGCTAGGTTTCCGTAGTCACGTAAAATGAGCCTTTGCCTTAATTCGTACAGTTGTTTATTTCAGTTCACCTTACCTTCGCCTTTCTTTATTTTCAAGGAACACAAACCTATATTACTGAGCTTTTATCTTTGAGCGTAAAAGGTATTTTTCGTCCTGAACTTATTTCTAAAAACTCAACCTGGCCTCAGTCACAAGCTTCTAGAAGACTGGAATATTTACCAGCCAGATATTGTCAGTTAGTGCCACATAGTTGAAGTTATTCGCCTGTAACAACCTTACAGATTACTGGATAATTTATAATCGTTAATAGGAGCAATCGTTATTATGCATCATTGCCAGTCTTCACGAATAATTCTCGTGACTTGGCTCCCCTACGCTGGTATCGACCGGCCAACCAGCCGGTTTCAAGTGTGCAGAAATGTTTCAGTGGATGCTGAAGTCTTTAGTTATAACGAGCCCCGTACATTTAAAACTTCTGGGATTACCAATAACGAGAGGTTAATGACAAAAATGTATATAATGACGGACAGAAGAATAAGAATCCAAATAAAGCATAATTCGAGATGCTCTAATAATAACACAGATCCTGCACATTCCTCAAGGTTTTTAGGCAACTGAGAGTTCTGCACTTTTGGTAGCGAGCTTTCTTTGATTTTCCCGAATATCAAAGAAATTTCTTTATTTACAAAGATTTATTATCCTTTTCTATTTCACAAAGGGTGTGTTCATACAAGACCAAGTAGATCGTGTCTGCAGCCAGCAATTCATGGCTTTGTCAACCAGAGATCTAGCCGTCTGAGCTAGCGTGCAGATTCACGCGCATACGATCATGTAATGTTTCTAAAAAAAAAAATCTAAAGAAACCTCTTTGGCCGTCCGTAGGAGTTCACGAGGAAGCAATGTGGAGATTACGTATTTTGATTATTCCCATACTTACTGGCGTTGAAAGGCTTCCAAATCAAGAGCTTACCTTTAACACGTCTTCCCGGCCGCCTCAGCACTGATTAGACGTGTCAAAAACTGAATTGTATTCGTCTGTTCTTTACGTATGTTTGTTCGACTTAGTTTTAAGAACAAATAGAATTTATGATAAAACCTTAATAGTCCTGGTTCTATTTTCAACCCGCTAAAATTAATTGCAAATCAAAACTGTCGATGAGACAGCGTAAAACCGGGTTACTATGTTTTACCAGTACACTGCTCCTACTGTAACCAAACGTTTTTAAAAGCTATTTTTTTCTATAGTTCTGTGGAGAAGATGTGCGTGCTCACATTTTCTATGTGATTTGAGGAGTCTCAAATTACAACATTAAGTTAGGCCTGAAAACGTCCGTGCCGTTGAATATTCTGTGTGCGTTATCATTCATGACAGTCGTAGGTGTATACAGTTTAAAGATTCGATGTTCTACCTTGCGTCTCGTTTCGCCTACGTATACTAGTTTTGATATGATTGCTCGCGAATTAAGTACGCTATTTAACGTAGATTCTGATGATGAATTGAGACGTATAGACACATTTGGTAAATCGACGTTTTGGTTGAGATGTTTTGAATGGGACCAAGACCGTTTGTGGTCTGCAAAGTCTAACATGACGTTCTACCAAGTTTTCTTCATTTCAAATATGTATGTAGTGCTATAGGCGCGTGTTTGTGTCCGATGACGATAGTTGAAATCTAAAATGCCAAGCGCGCGGGATGATAACCATGATTTCTCTGTCGCGGCGCATAGATAACAACGAAGACCGATTGACCGGGGAAAGTTAGGGGAAACAACAGGTATCCCTGTTGCCCAAAAAGTGATGGTTACAACTGCAACAGGACAAAGGCAGGCCATACTACCTCAGATGATCGCTGATGAGGTATCTGATGCCGTCGAATGGCCCGGTAAAGAGGTAGACGATGCTCTTCTTTACGATGCCAGTCTCTCACTGAAGAAGCCTGCCTCCACTGGTTTGTGTCAAACATATTTAAGCCTTTTATGACACCATGACACCACATATATATATATATATATATAGCAAGTGATATGTACTTGCTAGGACATACACATTTGTATGTGTGCGTCAAATATTCTTATTCATGCGAAAATCATGAGAGGTTTTTGCCAATTGTATGGTTTTTGTGCACGAAATGGTCGCATGCGGTAGGATTATCTACTTTGTAAAAACGCCCATTCATTAAGTTGTTCCAGAAAAGAGAACTTGTAAATACATTTTTTGTTTAGCCCATTTTTCAAATTGTTAAAGAATTCTCGCTCCACTGCATACACGAAGTGAGACTGTCCAGGGGGAGAAAAAGGAAAATTAATTGACGAAAATTCTGTATGCATTCTGAATATCTGTATTGATATTCGGCATAAAATACTAGTTATTGTGCGTTATTAAGTACGTCATGCGTCGTGAGTTATTAAGTATGTTTCAGAATACAGATAGGTAGTCATCAATCTAATTGGAAACTTAGTTAAGGTACGAGCACAGCCCGTAGTTATTGTACTGAACCTATCGTGAAAACCGTGTATCGTATACCGTTCATTTCATTTATCTATATATTAAGCGTGTAGCTATACAGGTTAAATATATATAGGACAAGAACTAAGCAGATTTTAACTGCAAAGCAAATAATTGTCTGTCTGCAACGTTTCTTTGGCTCATTTTAAATCAAGCGCTGGACTAAAAACGTTAATCGACTACTTACGGTGACTACAAGTGATTTTTACCGGAACACTTATGGGAACCGTGGCACTAGATTGAATCCCGTTGCAAAACTAGGCACCAAAAATCAGCGTCTCGTCGCAAGGCTCTATACCAAGCTATAATTCGTTTGTGGGTACTTCAGGAAATCACAATACTGCTACACATCTGCCTGTAATTTCGGGCTTAGTCCGGATAAACATAGAACGAAAAAAGCGAGCAGTTGTGCTTAGGTTTGAGCAACGTTCACTGAATTGGCGTTTTAACCACAGAATGATGACACTGTATGAATTTTCAGTGCTGCTCGTACTATACCAGCGTGGCAATAGGGAACCAAAAAAGACGAGTTGGCAATAACACTTGTTTTATGATAACTGCTCGAAGGCCAACCTTACTGTTATGGATGATCATGCCGTTTGATGATAGCTGTCATATTATTATTGATTACTAAAGGCATTAACAAGCGCTACCCTATCAGTCATGATCATTTATTTTAATAAAGGCAACAGATAGTTAATTTTACTACCACTTGATCTGGTCGCTTTATCAATACCAGACTTCCTTTAGCAACAAAAACTGACTAATTAAATACTGCTAGCAGTACAACCAAACGTATCATTATTTCGCAGGCATCGGAGCGATAATTTTCTTAACGAATAAGAAAACGTGTCGATCAACTGACACTTCATGGCATATATCTTGTTGTAGGATTATGTACTTGGCCGTTGTTCGTAAGCGTAGATTATCGGAAGGATTAGAAATCAAGTTGGGCTTAGCCCAAGTAACGTAGTTAATCCGTTCGTATCTTATCCATTTTCAAGAAGAGTGAAGGCTGCATCGGGTCGAAAATACGTCAATAGCTTTGTTAGGTGTGGGTAGAGATGACAGTTTTGGGAAACTGATTTGTTTAATAGGCTTTTGCATAAAAAATGTAATAAACTCATGTAGATTCATTCAAAAAGATTACCTTATTAATTCCAGGGGAAGGAAAACAGCACCGTCTGCCTGTATGGATTCCTGCTCTTCGAGATTGCAGTGCAGTTCAACAGGAACTTACGCATAGGCAAATGTTAGGATTGAATAAAGAAGACATTGAATTGGAGCTGCCAGACTCACTTTCTGTAGACGCAGTCCGCATCTTATGTAAATACCTTCACCGTACCCTCTCAATGGGAAACCCGCGTAAGTGGATATGTCTGTAGTTTTCGTAAAGCTATTGCTGTTCGTCTACTAATTTGAAAAAAATTAACTAAAAACTATTTTTTGTAGAAATTTTCATATTGCCATTTGTCACTAGTGCAGATGATAGTGAGAAACTAGTATGTATGTATAAAATACGGTCTTGCCCGCCGTTCTTGTGCAACGAACCCTCATAAAAGTAGCAAATTAAAAAAGCTTCTGGTTTTCAGTGGGCATTTTATTGCTCAGCACTATTTATAATACGCTTAATTGAATCCAATTCAAAATTAGCACTTCAAGATTACTATAAGGCAGTTATATTGAAGAACTTTGGCTAATTAATTCAATAATTTTTCTCAGACTAGAAGTGGTTTCTTTAACCGGTGTCCCGATTAACGACTGCCAGTGCATTGCCAAGTCAGGTGATAGTTATAGTATTTATAATTACTGTCACTTGACTTTCTAATCTGATTACAGCCTTCACAATCACGCTAAACAATGCGACGGAGCTTCATGATGCAGCCATGTTCTTTGGTTGCAGAGAAGCTGTTGATGCTTGTGTGACATTTTGGCATCGCTGTCTGGACGAGTACAATTGCCTTGAAATGTTGCTGGAAATTGGTACGTGACACTCACATGGTTTGTTCCCCGTAATTTTGCCACATGGAATTGAAGAAAATTGTCATTACCAAAATGAGCAAGTTCTAAGCACATAACGTTTAGGGCATTGATTCCATTCGACAGTTGCCAGGAATGGTCAAAAGGTCGCTCTATAATAGGCATGCTTATTGGCCTCGTGTAGAAATTCAGAATTCAAGATTTTGCATACGCGGCCATTTTTAGATCAAGGCTACCTAAAAAAAAACGCAAATAACCGTTTTATATTGCTTCAGCTTTATTTAAGACAATTTTCGATAAATATGTTAAATCATATGGTACTTGCACCTTTTATTTTTGTTTGCAAAACACCATTTGCAATTTAGACAGCTTCGGTAACGTCTGAACGATGGACCTGGGTGAATAGTGTCACAGTACAACCCACATTTAGGTTGTTCACGAAACCCTGTTCTGTAGTTATATAAGGTTCGTCGGTATTGGTCGACAGAAGCATAGAGCAGTCTTAGCTTTGGTTTTCTTGAGCTTATTTAAGGCAATATGGCAAGCTAGGATAGTGGCTTGTTAAAACTTGATTAATGTACGTGTTTTAATTAGGATTGGCTACGGCAAGAAGTGATCGGGAGAGATTAATAGTGACTGATTTCTACTGGGCAGGTATACGTCGTGAAATCAACCCAATACGTGTACGCGCCATCCACATCCTGAGCACTCATTTTTCTTCCATCGTTTCGCGATCAGTTAGTCAGCTTCTTCAGTTACCTGCATCTATTTTGCTTGAAGTCATACGAAGTGATCTCCTAGATGCCCCTCAAGAGATTACTGTATTCGAAACAGTTTTAACATGGGCTAACCATCAGAAAAACGAAAGGTACTATATCTAGTGTCTGCCAGTTATTACAATAATAGAGGAGGAATTTTATATTTAGAGTTTTCTATATAATAAAAGATGTTAAACATCTACATCCGATTTTGGTTATCTAGTATCATCAACCGTCAGCTACAACTAACTTCACTATATTTTTGAGACTTGCCCCTATTCTTCACCCAAACATTTCCTCCAAAAGTCTAGAGCAGTTTCAGGTATAGTGACGTTTTATTGTTGTTAATTGTTGAAGGTATCGGTCCTCGACTGGTGGAAACTGCCCGCCAGTCGCACTAATCCTTCACCACAAAATACTTACCTCAAACCCGAAATTAAGAACTTCGGAAGATAGCCAGCTTCTTCGGTCATTATAGCTGTTAGAAGCCTATACATAAGATTGTGGTGAGCACACTAGCACTGTATTATTACAAAATAAACTATTCCTTCAATGTTTTCATATCAATCAATATCAACCATATCAATTCAATTGATTTCCTTTAGCAAATTAGTTGTCAGATTCTATATTTATTATAATATTATCGGTTGGATTCCGAGGTGTGTTGCTGGCCCGCGAAGCCGGTAGATGATGACTAAAGCCCCCTATTGCGGCATAATCGAAATTCGAACTTATGCTGAAAGCGTCATATTAAAAAAAAGAACCTAAATAAGTAAAGTGCTGCAGTAACAAACGGTAGCTAGATGGAATCACATGGAATAACTCAATTTCAGACAGATAGGCATTATTGCTGCAAATAACACAAACATTTAGAAATATAGACAATCACGTTTGGTCAAGGGTCCTTAAATCTAGTTTTAATCAATTACCAACACTGATTATTGCTAAAAGCTGTAGTACAAGGTAGCTCGTGGTAAGGGTACAGCGGGCCATTTTTAGGTATATGTATATGACGACTTTTTTCTTTTCAATAGTCTTATAAATACTACAATTATAAAAATTCTTCGTGTGTGATGAGAGAGTTAATGTCTGCAATCTGCGAATCTTGTTTACGGACACTGGGCCTCATATCTAGGTACTTATCACGGTAGTGTTATAATGCATTCTTTTTACAACTATTATTACTACTGTATTAGAAACACTATTTTTCTTATCTTGTCTTCCGTCCCTTGTCTCAAGTTACCACTAATTCGAATATGATCTTCAACTAAACGTTGTACTGATGATGCATTTATATCTAAAAATCCTACATGTTTGTCACACTGGGTATTTAGTTTTGGTTAAAGACAGTTATTGAAAGAAAGGGTTGGAACTATATAGAAATATAAAATAGCAATAGCGAACTTATGATTTGTTTCTGGTAATGCATTCCAGTAACAGTGGGCACGTTATAATATGGGGGATTTGCAGCTTAATGAGTACTGCAGACCAGGCATTTAACACTAACTTCATACTTTTTTATACGTTCCTGACTCTGAAGTTTATCTGATGACTTATTACGTCACTACTATAAGTAAATTATATAAAACAATTTCATAATGCCTTACACCTTTGTTAATAGGCTCTCATGAAGGCCAACATAAAACATGTTGACGGTCAATAAACTTTATACAACGAACTAACTTCGATTCGCATACGAGTTTTGAGCGTAACTTCTTTAGCAAGCAGCAGACACAGGACGAGTGCGCGAAAAAGAATTGATGTTTAGTGGAAGGAACTTGCTTATTCAATACAGGATGGAAGCAATCTGCGTCATCCGTAAGAACATAATGACATGAATTTACTGTCTCTCTTCATTTGAACCCACCAGGTACCGCCACCTTGCTGATATTTTGCAAAAAGTTCGTTTTATATATTGCGGCGAGTCGTATCTGCGGACTAAGGCACTGCCGCAGCTGATAGCGCTTGCATCGCTCCCTGAATGCACCGAGCTTGCTAAGGTCGTAACAAGTATCCAGCAGGTATCGTAATCAACAGCCAAGTGCTTTGATAGAAATTTCTCTGTTGAAGACTTTAATAGTTGCGGATCTGTATTTATGGATAGTTGTTCTATTCTATCAACCAAATAATCTTTCATGCTCTGCAAATAGAACATGCATTACGTTGAGCGGCAGCCGACAACGTTCATGGACGTCGACTTGTACATGCTGCGGCCACGGGTCAGCCGCGAGACACTATTTGCCATAGGCGGGTGGAGTGGTGGTCAAGCTTCCGCATTAGTAGAGGCCTACGATAACCGCGCCCACAGATGGTATGCTTTGTCACAGGTGTGTGAGACAATATTCGATCACTATATAAATGCCAATAGACATCATAATACGTACTCATTAATCCCAAGCAAATTGTGCTTATAACTTAGTACAACCCTGACTAATTTCGCTTATATAGCTATCCATTTTTTTGGCATTATTTTTAAACTGTTCTTATTGGATTAACTGATTTAGACACTTTAGTCGTTACGACCGATTTTGTGACCTTTGGCCATTTAGACCTATACGTTCTGGGATGTTTTAAACACCAGTGCACTTTTGATTCAAAAGTACACACCAGGTTTCATCGTGTTTCCGCCAGTTTGTAACTGAAGCTTTATCTGCGTTTAATTATTTGCCATTTTACAGTGCGCGCTCTCGTATATACATTCCTAAGAGGCGATGTATATATCGCCTCCCGAGGACGTTATACGTATTTCTTGCTAAGCCACAGTAAAGCTTGTGGTTTCGATAATTACAACCTAACTGTTGATAAACACGGCACTTTATTATTAATTCGTTTCCTCACTTATGACCCTTCAGAAAACTGCAGATGAACTGCAGTGCCGCAGGAAGTTTACGTCCGTAAATAGAAAAGATGATTTCGTTAAGAACGAAGACTTTTGCCGTCAAACTGAGTGTAGCCACCGACAAGCAGCCACTTACTCTCATTCGTACTCTAGTTGGGATTTGAAGTTTTAACTTAAAATAATGCGGAAAAAAATACTTTCGAGTGCGCAACCATTTATCGGATGCGACAAGAAATTTCACCTCTAAGCTGTTATAGATAACGCTTCAAACATATTAAAAATTATATATAGTTCAATGTTGTTTAAGTGCACTTTGGGTTTAATTAATAAACAGAAAATGCATAAATTGATAAAGCCCGGACGGTCTCCATGGGTCGTAAAACCTCAACTGCAAATTAACCCCGTTTTACAGGGTATTCTTCAGATGGGCTTCTCCCAGAGACAACGATTGATGACTGTGTGAATCGAGTGCTTCTTCTATAATTCAGTCTGCTCTTTAATTCAAAGGAAACTCAAATAGTGTTTGCAGCAAAAATGATTTAATCGCTGTAAAACTGCTAGAGTTCCTAAAGCTCTAGGCAGGCTGTAGTTGTTCCTATTTTCTAATCTGATAATCTTATGATTCTTACTTAGTAATAGTTGAGAAAGATCTGTGAAATATGGGCCTGTATTATTGAGACCGAAGGTCTGTTTTAGGATAACGATGTCCAACCTCGCGCTTACCACGGCCTTGTGGGCGTAGGACCGCGTTTGTATATGATTGGGGGATTTGATGGCACCAATTGCTTCAACGACGTTCGATGTTATGATAGTGGCGCACACCGCTGGAGCGAACGAGCGCCAATGCACCGAGAAAGGTGCTACGTCTCGACAGCAGTTCTTGACGAAAAGGTCATCTATGCATTAGGCGGGTACGATGGAACATCACGAACAAACACTGCTGAAAAGTACGACATTCAAGGTGAATTATGTCAGCCAAGGTGATCATAGACACGTTAGTCGAGAAGTAAACGATTTTTGGAAATCCAGTGCTTCTATATTAGCGATCCAATGGCCAGAAGCTCAAGGTGTTCATTGAAATATAGACATATAATGCTTGTGACAGCACAGTGGTAGTTGCCAGTTATTAAGAAAACCCACGTACAAGTACGAAAATGACAGTTAAGGCACGTTCGTTTAATTAGACCCAGAATACCTTGCCTTTAGAACTTTGGCAATTGGTTAGTTAGGATCTCCTTTTATTTAAATTAGAATCGTTATAGAAAACAATTCTAATTTTTGTTATTCCTTTATTTCATACGAAAAATGAATGCGTATGTCATTTGAGGCCTTGAATTCGTGAAAACTAGCGTTCTTAATCAGAGAGAAGAAATTGTATGAGTAGCTTTCTTTAGTTCGCCTAAAGCTTTAGCTTATTTTTATATAGATATTCGTTTTCGCCATCGTTTTTGCTCAAACCCTCTGAAACACGTTACAGCTCTGTTCAACAAATTATCAAATCTGGTTAGATGATGTTTCCTCTGCTTAATGTTTTAATGCCTACGAGGGCAGCCTTTAGACAGTTTCGCAAAGAACAAATATATTGAAGTGATCGGACATTCGATAGGTTTACTATAGATTCTTTGTGGTTGTTGTGTAGACCTATCTTGGGCCTATCTCCTCAGCCTATTTGGCCATTCAAGAAGTGTGTAAAAGGTCGAGTAAGCCAATTTCGTGGTTACACCTACGTAAGCACAGCATAGTGTTGTATCTCTAAGATACCGATTCTTCAAAAATTTTACTTCCGCTGTAAAATCTTTAACCCGATCCTTAATGATATTCCTTTTTTTCAAAAGAAACATTACCAAAACTCTAAGGCTCTTCTCTACTTTAGCCTAACAATAATAGCGATTGCAATGGTGTGAACGTGTAGAAAATACGTGGACTATGATCGCACCGATGAACGCGATTCGAAGCGATGCCTGTGCAGCGACCGTCGGTTCGAAAATTTTCATTGTAGGGGGCTTTACTGGTGACGGAGTTTTGCCGTCCGTCGAATTCTATGATCCAAAAACAAATGCCTGGACACTGGTAAGCAATATAAAGTATTTTACCAAAATGTCATAGACAATAAACAAGTAGAATTCGGTTAATTCTGACTTGCCTATAGATATACAAATTGTCTGCTTTTGTTGCTCATTCAAACGTGAATACCAAAACTAAAGGATTTATGATTGCTTACATTTTGAACATACAATGCACGTACAATGCACGCCGTGTGTAGACTCAAAAGATGCATTTTAACGACTTAAGAAAATTTAAATAGTAACTAATGACTGTTTCTAGAAACTGCACAGATAATTCCTACTGACGTTCCCATGAAAAGTCTAGTCAAAAAGCAGAGTTCGTGGTTTTTAATATAGAACAAAAGAATAGACAACGTTGTCATTTAATCACAGGGGATTGCTATAGTATATACGATCTTACATTTCCATACAATGCCACAGTAAACATCACAGTAGCGAAAACTCATTTTATTATTACGAGTTAAACTGATGAGCATCCGGCTTGGTAGGCTCATTTGGATTTGCGCCAAGTGAAAAAATCTTCCGTATCTACGTATACTTTAGGAGTAATGAAATGTTAACGTGTAAAATTTAAATGGTTTACCATGGTATTTTATCATGTCGCGGAAACTTTATATTTTGCTTTTGCAACACCTCAATGACGGCGGACTTACGTCTAGCTATAATGCGTATGCTGCGATTTCTTGCGACAGAGATCCAACGGCATCAACCAATACGTAAGTCAAAGAGCGTCAGTTCCATACAATGCATTTATTGTGTTGTAGCAGCATGCCGTTTTTGACAGATTGTGAACGGTGTTGTCGGCGGCTTTGTGGACAATAGTACGAAATCGAATGGACTAAGCAGCAGTTTTTTCATGTCCTCTGCACACTTATGGTATTTTACCTCTAGTGATATAAATCTGTTTATGTCCAAAGCAGACCGCATGTAACAAAAAGGGTACGCCTGTTTCTTGAGTGATGCTGGATATAATTGTCTCCGTTTTCTACTGGTATTACACGGGAGAATTAGTGGATTAAATAGATAAGATAGCCAAGCAAAATAATGTTATGCAGTAACAATTTGTGCTCCGTTAGGTGAAAGGCATTTTCTTGGCTAAAGCATATTTAGTGAAAATGCATCTCCGAATTTATATATAGACGTAGCTTAAGGGTTGCTTTATGTGATCGTCCGAAAATATCAGATTGGAACGCGGGCAACACGATAAGAAAGGATATGTGCTGCATTATCTTGGATTTCTTCATATGGCCGTGTAGGTCTCAATACCTCTGAGACGCCAGAAGAATTCTACGAATTGCGTGTGTATCTGCTTTATATTCTGGCGTACGCTAAAAAATACGCTTAATTAAACACGCCATTGAGAATTGCAATGTTTATTTCATACTGTTCACTACAATACTGTTACTAAACTTGTAGGTCGAATAGAAATCAATACGTATGCGTTTTGAATTACTTCAATATAATTCCAGGTGCGCAGTATGTCATCTCCTCGAAGTGGCGTCCGCTGCGTGAGTCACGATGGGCGACTTGTAGTGCTTGGCGGATATAACGGAAGAGAAAGACTTTGTTCTGTTGAAAGGTATATACAGAACCGTAAATATTCGGAATATGCTTAGGTTGTCCTGTTTTACTGGTGCGCCCATTTGCACCTCAGAAATAGAATTTGATGAGAACGCCTAGAGTTCATCTTTGAAGTCTGCACACTCGCTGCCCCCCGAATATTTAAAAATTTTTACAAGACTGACGATTTTTCGATTTCTTTTTATTTTTATTTAATTTCATATATTTATTTTTCATATTTTATAGACGTAACGAAAGACAGATTAATAAGAACATGCCGATATTATATAAAAAACGTTTTTTTAGTCGTATTGACACACTTATTTTACCGTTATTGTTACACCGAGCTCTTAAAATGAGCCAATCACAGTGCTGTACCGTTCTTATTGGCTTTCCCCCTTTAAATAAGTTTCCCATGTCGGTTAACATTACAAAATCGCTATCACTTCTTTCTTATGGTGTGAAAGTAGTATATAGACGTGCTAAATTATATATCAACGGTTTTTGATTTTTTTGTAACTTTTATCAGATATGACGAACGTCGCGACCGTTGGGAACGATTGGGTGACATGCCAACTGTTCGAAGCAATTTCGGAGCTGCGTCGTTCGAAGGACGCATTTTTGCCATCGGAGGTTTCAACGGTCAATCGACAATCTCGCAGGTCGATGCGTACGACCCTATCACGGCTAGATGGACGACTCTACAAGGTATAGAAAAATCAGTCATTTGTTTACTGCCTGACAAGCAGTATAGCTACACAGCATTTGCGTCGTTCATATTCTTCTTTATCCTAATTGAAATATGAATACAGCAGTTCTGTTTTGGCCTTCATATTCATCGTTTAGTTCCTTTGGGTTGCGTACTGCTAATTAGCAGAAGTAGAAGAAGGAAGCCTTCTCCATATGCATAATTAATTAGAGATAGTAATCAAATTAGTAATTTAACTTCTCCTTATATGAGCTGGATAATTGCCTTTTGTATAACAGAGAATAAATATTAAAATTGAAGATTTAGTCTAAAGCTTACCTTAGACAAACAGATCTAGGAAATAGCACAAAGGTTAAGCCCCCTTCCTAGGCGGTAAAAACTGTTTATGCAGAGCTGTCGGTCCTCACCCAATTTATTGGATATACCTATATGAAGTTACTACTTAGTGAAGGTTTTATCAACATACAGTTGATCCGAAGAAACGGCGTTTTAAGAATTTAGGAAAATATAGCACCTCCTCAGCGAGAGAGCAAAAAGTTTGGCGAATGGATTCTCGCTCACATAATAGATTAACGATACGTTGTTATTCGAAGCCAGTACTTCACTTTTGTACTTCAGGTGGCGTTCGAAAGTCAGGTTTGAGATGAATGGTAATAGATCATTGATATGTTTATAAGGGTGGAACATGGTATGGCTAGATGGTAAATCGTTGCATTTGGTACTGTATTCCGCTTTATTGTTAGTGACCTTTGCGAAAAAATAAAAGTTATGTGGGTCGTTTGTCATTCTGAATATTCGAGTATACATTCTTATATCTGGCAAGCCTCGATAGTTAGCCATTATATGCCAGATAGGCAAGGTATGCCAGAGTGTGTAACTTGTGTAGAATTAGTCTGTGTTAGTAAAGGAAAAAATTTTGTTGCAGGCATGACTGTGACCCGATCCGCTCTAGGCGCGTGTATCTGTGAAACCGCGGATCCCGAGTACTACTCAATGTTAACAAGGCATTCATCGGCCAGTGCTGCAGCTTTTAATGCACAAATGGCTCTTGATAGATTAGCATTGCCTAGAGCTCCTGCTCCGAGCAGGGCAGCTCAATAAAACTCAACTGGTAAAGCGTCTACTAACTGGTTGAGCCCGGACCTCTTCTTCATTAAGTAAATCCGTCGTACGATAAGCATCGAATCGGGATGATCGTGCGGGAGTAACAAAAATGAAGCTGTAAAGACAAAGTGTATGTGACAAAAACGGAGATAGAGATCATTGACATAGAATAACATGAATAATAACCAAGACAAAAATGGATCACTACGAATCATTGTACTCATTTATTTTATAACTGGAGAAACGCAAAGTCCGCTTTAGTCATTTTCTGGTTCTTAGTGTTTATGGTGATAACCTATAATTTAAATTTAAGTAGACGTAACACAGTAACCGTAAGTGACTTTGATTTTGATTAGAAGGAAAGTCAGCCATACTTTTTAGGATAATGATGACAAAACGTTTACAATGCGGCACTATGCGAAGTCACTTCTGGCGTATGGTATCAAAAGCCAGATATTGCCGAGAACTAAATTACCAGGAGCAAAAAATTAAATTGAGGCCAGTAAATGGATAAAACGTGTTTATATATAAACCATAAGTGTCGAATCAGGTACGTGCGATGCACTTTTAAAATGCCGTCTGTGAACTTTGTTCCATCAACCACTTTGATGACTGTGCGAAGTCCAGTAAAGCGAATTCTGTCAAGCCGACTTGCCATTACAATATAATGCTATGTCATATCCTAAATTAGAATTTAAAGATAAAATACGCATAGAATCTGTATCTCAAATAATAACACAACTATCATAGTTGCACTGCGACTTACGAACAGTATGCACCTTGAACTTCGATCTATGGTCAGCCTTACAGTATAAGAATCGTCCTGCACTAGACTTATTTTACAGGTATGGAGGCTATCTAGAGAATGATTCGCTACGCGAGCTTATGGTTCTGAGTATGTATTCACCTGAGCTTTGGCGATTTTATCAAAATTGCCTAGTTACAAATATGAATGTTCGCTCGATCTTAAATGCCAACGAACAGTTGCTTCGCCACCAGATACTTTTCAGTATTCGCCTGGTTCGCCTGGTAATGATATCGTACTTATTTGAGCCCATTTTTTTGTTAATACAAGGACTAAAACCAGACAGCACGTTTGGACATTACGAAGTATCCAGTTAATAAGCTGTTCTTGCCTTCAAGGTACACAGCAAAAGTAGTGACAATGATTAGGTGACAAACCCTAGTGCTCAACTATGCTAATAAACGAGACAAATCTTTTATCGAACAGCCCTGACGATTACGGTGAGGATGATAGTCTGCTTGCTTAACCACGATCAGCATCTACGGGAGGACCTGTCTTAAGGGTTTCAGCGCATTCTGTGTGCATGATTACTTTTTTTAGTCGTAAGGGGACGCTCTGGTGTGGATAACGACCTCATTGTAATCGTCGAAGTGCTTTGTTTGACTTGTCCAATCAGCAATTATATATAGAGAAAGTCAATCCTCCTCTAGAATCAATTTATAATAAAATATACTTATTAAATTCCATAATTATTGGAATGGCCTTGCGCGAAATTTGTAGATGTCTAGCGAGTTTGCGATTATTAGATGCTGTCCATGATCTTGCCATTGTTGTTGACATGCGTCCAATTAATATGGTCGAAATCGCATCTACCCTTGTAAATGATGTTGAGGCTTATGGTCGTCTTACTAACCACTGCTAATCAGCAATTGTTCTCAACGATAAAAATTTATGGCTCTCTTAAGTTATAAACCTGCCTTTCTTTTGTTTATAAACCTTCACCAACCAGAAACCAGTCGAGTCATGACTATCACACGGACTTTTTTAATTATAAATATACTGTTTTAGTAAAACACTATCCTTAAATTTCGTCTAAATAATGTTTGTATCAAGCTGCAAAAGAAAACACTTAAAGTACCCCATTTCCATCCTTGATATACGCAGGTCACAATATTTACGCAAGCAGAAAAGAAACTATGCTAGCGGGTTTTGAGAAGCACCAAACATCTTGCATACGTGCTTGCTAACTTGCACTTCACCCGTCTTCACTTGACGTCAAGTAGACAGAAATTCATTTTATAGCGGTGCTAAAAATGCTCTCATTGAGATATATGTGTTGTGTAAAATGTGCAATCGATGTTTTTACTCATTTTAGCATATATATATATATTGCACGCTTTAGTTTTCATCCGTTTTAGTGTGTACACATTATAATAAACGGCGCTCCACTGCGTAAATTGTACATGGGCAAACAAGAACAGTGGTGATATACAATTTTGCACCACGTACAAACAACAATGATCGTTACTCGATGGTCAGTATTAAAGTGCCACAACTGTAGAATAATAACACACAGTGACCTTTATCTATCAATATTTTACGATGTGTGATAATTTACAATCTCTATGGTGGAAATACGGAATACACCTCTTGTCTTAGGCTTTGAGGGAATTATTTGCAATTTGAATCGATGCACAAGGTTTTGATGATTAAAGCAAAGGCGTTTTTTTACAAGTAATTAGATAATGCGTTACTTGGTCCATTTGTGCAGTTTCTTAAAATTTGTAGGTTTATCTGGGGGCAAATCATCTAATAAATTGTCAAGAAAATGTAATTAGAAAAAAGACTAACCAACTAGAAAATGCTATTCACTCAGTAGTGTTCAGCATTTTTGATTGCCCGAAGATTGAATTGAAGATCTGCTACAAATGCTTGAAATTTGTCAGAAAATGTAATGTATATAAATGAAATTACAATGTTCCTGCAACTAGTATCATCTCATTTACTGTTGAGCGCACAGCTGGAAACAATAGAGATCGCTCGATTAAAACCTAGCATAAAACATATCTACCTAATGTAATTAGCTTCAGCTTGATAGCTTGTACAAATGATAACTAGGATCTACTACGATCGTTCGGTCATTGCATTATGTTCGAACTCAGGTGTGTGCCAGTGTTAGCAACCGGTTGGCAATATATTTCGACGTTAAAACGCGAAGTGCATGAGCCTATCTCCTCGTTCCTTTTCCTCCGTGAAGTGCTTATGCTGCACCTTGTATATCGCTTCGCAAACGAATAATAAGCATTGAACTTCTGCGTAGCATGTAGGAAACGTTCGCAATTCATTCGATCATTTTCGTCCATCGATTTACTTAGAGTGCGCAATTTAATCAAAATGCCATCAATCAGGTACGCTCGCCGTCTTCATCACCATCAGTTTTTCCCGGAAATTCAAAAAAATCAAAGGGCTTTGCGAATCATTTCACAGTATTTCCTATATTTCCAGATCTACCTTTGAATGACGCACAGTCATTCTAATAAATGCAACATCATTATAGTTTACGCATTTCTTCTAAGCTCAAAACATGTTGACCAGGGTTATCGAAATGAATTAACCCAAAGGAAGATCGCTCTCTAGGCAAAATATTATATCTTGACAAAGACAACGGACTAAGTATCTAGATACTTTATGCTCGAAACTAATGGACATAGATAACTAAAATAATGACAAAAAGTACCCCAATGACATAAATAATGGCAATGGGGTACGGCAGCACATAAACACAAATTATTATTATTATTAGACTTTGAGTATGTAAAATTGTATTCGAATCACGTGTGATAAATTATCGTATTTCTAAAAAAGGTGTATATAGGATTGGATTATGGCTGGAAGAAATAACGGACTATTAGTTTATTTTCGTATTTCATTAAGATGTGGAATAGATCGCAAATAAAAATGTCGCTAGCGATGCCCACAAATATGGTACAGCGCAGCATATGTCACCGGTAAAGAAAACCCCTTAGAGACTGAAAATATCCGCGGCCGAATAACAAACGGTTGTAGTTTCATGGTCATAAAATGTTATTCTACAGGTTTACTACGTGTTCTTTAGGTGATAAAGTACACTTGTACTGACATTAAAAATTCCAACAAATATTCCAACAGAACAACTCGCTTTTTTCGAGTTCAATCTTTTTAAGAATACCTGATATCGTAAAACTGTGTAAAGATAAAAAAAAAGAGTTCAGACTAAATGTAAGTACAAATACAACATGTAGTAAATGTACGGGTCAAACGGTGTTTAAGTTATATACGGTTTTGGTCGTAACTTTCCCAACTTCTATCCGGAAGCATCTTGCAATCTTTTTCAATACCTTCTTGCTCAAATTCACCACAAAGTTTCGATTATTATCGCAAATTAGACGATATTAACAGGCTAAGACTTATTTCTCTTCGAAAATGTTCTTAGCAGAGAAAATAACTCACCTTATTCTGGGCTGTTGCAGGTAAACCTTTTTGGTTGTTCCGGATTCAAACACGCAAGTTACGCTAAGTTACCTAGCATATATTATTATTCCCACTACCGTTTCAATTATTACAGGCATAAATTTGGGTTGTTACAGTGCTCAAGTTTCGAAGACTTAACAAGCGAAAGATGGTACGCATTGAGAAAGACAATAGTTCTCAGAATTGTATTTGGGCGTATCTGAATGGCCTAAAATCCGACCCCTAGACAGACACATCCGTAACAACTGCCTAATTCTAGCTAGTATTTAAAATGCGCCTTGTCCGGTTTAGGCAATAACAACGCCATCTTTGCTGTTGATGGAACAAACTTTTAAAAGTACTACATATTTATTGTGGAACTTCAAATTTACAACCACTTCGTGTAGTAACAGCACTAAAAACACAACATGACATTGGAACTGCGAAAGGTCTTCATATACACCTAAAATACTTTCATAAACAACGTGCCTTATTAAAAGAGCCAAACCTCGACTAAAACTGTCGCTGGACACATAGCGGATGCGCGTTACGCCGAACTACGGAATTATGACTCGATTCTTGCGAAAATGGTTTTTGTATCTCTCTAAGCCGAGGTGCGCGTGGTAGATCGTAGACAACACGTGCTGCGTATCTCGATGATGTCCCGAAAATTTAGCGTTCGCGGTACACACAGTCCTTGAAAAAACAATACCACGACAGGGGCAGGTAGACTAGCAAGCAAATGAGCAGAGACGATTCCTTCGTGAGGCAGCTGATTTCGCGATCTCATATACCGCAATACTAGATATACCGCAATGAATAATAAAACAGTAAATTATTGCCGCTTCCTGCTGGCAATGGGCGGCATATAAAATTATCAAACTTTTTTGCCTGAAATAAATGATCTACATTATTGTGAAATTTCATGATACTTTTAAAAAATACAAAGAAGTTTTTTTATAAAGCAAACGAAAGGTCCTTAATATAATTAGGCTTTAAAGAGTT